AGAAAAGGCTCGCTCCAATTGAAAGATCCACTCGCTGTGGTGTGTTGAACGCTGGATCAGCCAACCTTATGTTAAGGAATTTTCTAGTCTGATGTATCGATAATGAAGCTAAACTGACTATCGGTAAGGTGGCTGAATAATCTGAGTATTGTGACTTCATGTGAATCCTTATCCCTCCATGACAATTGTGGATGACCTGGTTTTCCTTAACTGAAGTCCCTGTGCAAAAAGGGATGTGACCATGTGCAATTGCGAGCCTGAGGGTAGTAAGGGCCTACAGGGAACCAAGGAACCAGATCTATTCGTAACCAGTACCACTGCAGTGACCAATAGCACCACACCAGACTGAAGACCTTGGCCAGCAAGGTAGTGGAGTAAGAGTGTACCATATTGGCGGTGCTCAAATCAGAAGAAGTGTGTCATGGTGTCGACGTTTAGCTTCTGGTGAAGTAGCTAAATTCAGCAGGGTATGATGCTTTCCTCCACAAGTGCGACAATGACTACAACTGCAAGACATGAATGTTGGCTTATGCTGATTTGGTGTGGCTGCTGCAGAATCCAACAGAAAGTATCTTATTGAGTGCTGTTTTGTGTGGCCTTCAGTTTATGGAAGCATAGCCTTGGATGAATATTTTCTTTCTCTGTTTTTTTTTTTCGAATAAGTAGCACACTATTGAAACTATTTATCTGTTGCTTAAGTTCTTTTGGGCGGTTGGTTGTTGATACTTTGAAGGTTTTAACTTTTGACTGGAAGATCGTGGAATTTGTTCCAGTCCAGTCCTTCGATGCCATGGCATCTCAGTATAAGGGAAGCTTTTGTTTGACGGCACATGGCAGTAGGTCATCGAGTAATAAACAGAAACAGACCTGAAAACACACTCCGATGGATAAGGTTAATCCGCAAACGTAAAATCAAATTCATAAAATAAAGCTCATTTACCATAAGAAGCGACAACAAATCAGCTAGAAAACAACAACAGTGCGTATGAAACCCCATTTTTTTTCTTTGTCCGTTTTGATCGCTAAAATTCTGAAGCAAGATTTTGAGAGACTTAAGAAAATCAGTGAAAAGAAAAGGGACAGATAATGCCATTATGTTTGTTGCGGGCTTCTATGACATTCCCACAAGGCAGAAACAAGATAAAAACAAGGACAGCATAATTTGGGTACTAAATTGTGTTCCAGAACCGAGTACCACCGCAAGTAGGTAGAAAATTTGAATACCAGCAGTCCATGGCATTCAAAAGGGTTTCGCATGACAGTGAATAAAAATTTGTAAATAAGGTTAGTGGTATTTGGTTGCAGAACTTGAGAATAGTTTAAACACCCTATTTTTAATAAGGGTGCCATGCTGGTCGAAAAGTGACAAATCATAAGCAAGCTTGCAAGCTTGCAAGCGTGTGACTTTGCTTAGAATGAGTTAGAAGGGTGCAGAAGGTAAGATCAGGCTGTAGCCTCAAACAAAAAAGGGATAGCACGGATAGAATTTGTGGTGTGCCTTTTTCATTGTCCGTCGCTTGTTTTGATTATGGTTATTGTTGGTTCTTATGGAAAAGGTTCGGAAGTTGTCTTTGAATTTTTAAGCAACGGCAGAAGTAGTTGCAGACAGCCGGGTGTTGTATTTGCAACCTCGTTACAGCTCATGAAGTACTTCGAAGAAGAGCTTTTGATCCAAATGCCCTCTTTGTATATTTATTACTCAGCGGCAGTAGGCTTACTAGTACTGGTGTTGCCATATATGTTGATGATACCAGTATGTATGTAACTTTCACTTAAGACTTTGAACTGCTGGTCATTGGATCAGTATACTTAGAAGATGCCAATGTGAATGTACGTCTCAGTGAGGAGAACCGCAAGGCGGTGCTGCTAGGCTTCGGGTTGGCTGGCATCGATGGCATTGATGACTTTGAATACCTGATTTCTTGATGCCTCCCGTCCGAAGATTCAAAGGAGTATATTCCTTGTCAGATAATATCTACACTTCGGCTGCTGGTAGGTTTGTGCCTGACTGCAGTTGGAGTGATTGCTCTCAATTGAGCGCTCTGTGTTGGTCGATTGGTTTTACACAAGTTGGGTGTACTCGACGGTGTTCAGGCAATCATTGTCAATTCATGAAAACCAGCTTTGCTGGATCAGGTGAGGATAATGGATCCGATGGATTGGTACTCTGGAATTCGACCATGACATAACTCCTGAATCATGGCAGACGACTAAGTCGACCTTTTAAGATTTTACTGAGGTTTTGAAAGAAAGTTGTGTGAGATCGCCAACGATTTAAAATCCTCGCAAAACCAAGCTTTGCCTAATGCTCATAGTGCTTTGCCCGTTTCTAAGAAGCACAGGGCAAAAAGTTAATAGCTAATAGTTAAGATATCTTGAAAAACAAGATGTTTTTCATACAACTTAATTTTCGATCGATAGTTCCTATGGCAGCTAGACGATGTAGTGGACTGATGTAGATATGATTTTGTGATTATATGGAGAGCATACTAAAACTAATAAATGCCACGTTTCCTTAGGATATTTTGATAAACAAAAACGTGGAAAGAACTTTATTTTCGACCGATCGATCCTATGGTATCTATATGACATAGTGGTCCGATCCAGCTGTTCCCGACATGTGTACTGCGTGCAACACAATGAGAGACTAGTTTGAATATAACCAGACAGACGGACAACGACTATTATATTTCATGGGGTCGGATATGTCGCCTTCTTCACGACAAAATTGTAATACCCTTTGAAGGGTATAATAAAACAGATTTTTTAGAGGATAAGAATAATCAACAAGCGCCTGAAAGCAGAAAAGATACAGTACTGATTAAAAGGAAATTAGAATACAATTTATTCTTAGATTACACCTTGTGCACGAAAGCAGTTCGCACAAAAATTAGGTATATAATATATGTGAAAGGTATTTTGATCGATATTTAAGTTTATTTTGATCAGCTTCAAATTATTTTCAAACTCCCTGATTACTATTTCTGTTCGACTTTATGACCATTATCATACCTTTTATTAAAGAATGAATAAAGTTTCAACTATTTTTCGTGTTTGAGGGAAAACTGGCAGATAGTTGTTGCACTAGTTTGGACAGGAAAATTTATATTTTGTTCTTCAGCCGATCGACTTCCAAGGCATTTTCTAATATTAATATTACTTACTTGAACCTTTTTACAATTTAAAATGAAAGGAAAAGAAATATAGAAACTTTGAAGAGAAACTTAGTTGCCATTAGAAAAGAGGGCTAGCTTCCGAGGTATACTGATAAACTATTTATTAAACAATCATACTTCTGAATGAGGTTCAGAGCTTGTGGCTTGTGTGCATGTGTGTGTATCTGTATTTGTATATATAAAAGGGAGTTCGACTGTTTGTTGCACCAGTGCTGAGGCACAAACAAGAAGTTTTTTCATAGTCGTGTTACTGTTATTGTTTACGCTATTGTTGCGTTTACTTTTTACTAATAAATCATTTAAATATTTATATGCGTATAGCATGTTAGATCGAGATGTTGGGTGGTATGAAGCAGTCGCTACTAATGAACATGGTGAGGCAAGACAACGAGTACGACTTGAAATCGCTGAGTACCCACGATTTACAAAACGACCTGATGAAACGTTTATAATGGCTCGGAAAAATGGTCGCATTGAAGCTAGAATAACTGGAATTCCAATTCCAGAAGTTCGCTGGTATAAAGATTGGAAACTTTTAGCTGATTCTTCCCGTATAAAGGTATAAATAAACATACACAAGATAGTTAAATTAAATTAAAAAATCATTCTCTAAAGCGAACATTACTTAAAATATTTTGATTTAGATGCACTCCTATGACCCCGATGTATATATACTATCAATACATGACTCAATAATTAAAGACGGTGGCCTATACTCAGTTAGCGCAAGAAATGTAGCTGGCTCTATAAGTACATCTGTGACTGTGCATATAGAAGAAAATGAAGACCAGTATATTTATAAGACCTATGGAAGGCATCCATATGTTCGATCAAAGCAATTACGATATGAAGACAAATATGATATTGGCGATGAGCTCGGCCGTGGAACTCAAGGAATAACTTATCATGCCGTTGAACGCGCGACAGGAAATAATTATGCAGCGAAAATAATGCATGGAAGGCCAGAACTCCGACCATTCATGTTGAATGAACTCGATATGATGAACATGTTTAATCATAAAAATTTGATACGTCCTTATGATGCGTATGAAAATGATAGATGTGTAACACTAATAACCGAACTAGCTGCTGGAGGGGAACTTGTTAAGGATAATTTACTTAAGCGGAATTATTATACAGAGCGAGTTATTGCTAATTACATACGCCAAGCATTATGGGGCCTGGAACATATGCATGATTTGGGAGTTGCTCACATGGGCTTGACGGTAAATATGCTTTTAATCTTAAAATAATTATAAAGTATGATTTATACTCTTGTTTTTATTTTTATTTCAGATTAAAGATTTGTTAATTTCAGTTGTTGGCAGTGATTATATAAAAGTTTCAGATTTTGGTTTATCCCGAAAAATAAATAAACACAATTTATCAACATTGGATTACGGAATGCCGGAATTTGTTTCCCCGGAAGTCGTTAATAAAGAAGGCGTTAGCTTCTCACACGATATGTGGTCAGTTGGTTTAATCACTTACATACTGCTTAGTGGCAGAAATCCGTTTCAAGGAGTTGACGATAGAGAAACATTAACAAATATTCGCGAAGGTCGCTGGGATTTCAAAGATAATATATGGACACACATTTCAGAAGATGGTCGCGACTTTATAAGCCGGCTACTTGTTTACAGTCCCGAAGAACGTATGGATGTTAAAACAGCATTAAAGCATCCTTGGTTCTTCATGCTGGATGGTCCAGACTCCCTTGACGATTTCGAAATTGGAACTGATCGGTTGAAAAATTACTATGGTCACTTTAGAGACTGGTATGCAAATGCTTCTTGTAAAAATTACTTCCGAAGACGTCGATTAAGTGGCTGCTTCCAACATCCTTCTAAAATGGTATACCCTTCTGGTCATTCATATACACCTGAACATACCCCAGAGCCGTTACCGGAACCAAGAAACAGAAACAAACGTGATGAACCTGTTTCTAAATTTTTGCATCCCGATTATGAGTTAGGCCTTATACAATCTGAAAGCCAGTGAGTACCATTATAAATAAAAATATAAGATTAATAACCCACGATAATTTTTATTTTTTCTTATTTTAGCTATCAATATGGTCCCGATACTTATTTATTACAATTAAGAGATGTCAGTTTCCCTGTAAGATTGCGGGAATACATGAAGGTAGCCCATAGACGATCACCATCATTTGCATTAAACGATTCAGTTGATTGGTCGGTAAGTAAACGAATCCATAGTACGATTAGATATAACTTAAAAATATGCACATATGCACGTTCGTTTAATATGAACGCGTCGATCACAAGGCTAGAGGCATCAAATTTGAAACATAAATGGCAATATTTGTATCAAGCGTGTCTATATACTGAAGAGCTACAGATCACAGACCATTAAGGGATCATTGTTGCAGTTGTATTGTCAAGAATAATCATTCAGGAGTTGAAAGATTTGACATACCAAGGCTTAAGAGGCACTACAAGCTCAATGTAAATCAAGTCATTACGAATGACGATGTGCAAAAACACAGACCTTGCGATTAACACCATTCAAATGTTTATTAAAACAAGGTCTATAAGATTATAGCAAGAATTGAGATCTATATGCTAATGGAATTCCCGATATATCTAGACAATATTAGAAAGCTCAAAGTTGCACCGAGGAAAAAGATCTTAAAAAACATTTCATGATAGTAGGCGTTTTCGGTCAAGTTCTAGTCGATATAATTAATCTTCTACCAAATTTAAAAATGGTAACGAACATATAGTCATATATAGCACAAAAAACCCCAAAAATCGTGGCAAAAGCGACGAATCCTTTTTTTTTTTAAAGTACAGTCCACTAAAGATGTTCATTACAGAACATGGGTACAGAATACAAAAATTCCATTATTATTCATATAAGAAAAAATATATAAAGATAGTCAATAATACATCTACAGCACACTCTACAAGAAACGGTTTAACGACGTGAGAAACCCTTAAATTAAATTATACCTTCATACATCGCGGTTGAGAAGAATAATTGAGCTTCAATATTTTGCTTATTTCTACAATACAACCCGATCCATTGTCCATATTGTCCATGTGAATTATTCCTCAGCAAAATCCAAACTTAAATAAGCATTTTAATAGCATAGATAAAATATAACCACATTATAACATATAAGATTAGGCAATGAAATCTAGATTTATTTTAGAATACGCTTACAAGAAATCTAGAAATATGATAAAATTTAATAAGAAAAAACAGAAAGAAAATTATGTTGGGAAAGTATCATTATTTTAATTAGAATAAGGAACGCTATGTATGAGAAGTTCTTAGCTGGAGAAGTACGCTCTTCCTCTCACAGCATGTTAACGTCTACCATAATTATGCTAAGTTAGAATTATAAGCTCTGTCTGAATTGAATAAAACATTCAATAAACCGACTTCTAAAGACACCCACTTTTAACTTACACACTGTTTACGACAAGACAATATAGCTATATTCCTAGGTTGTAGTGTCTATTTGTCTGTTTTCTGTCGATTCTAAGCAAACAAGTCTCTCAGTTTGAAACCTATCGTCATTCTCGTTTGTAAAGTTACGTTTTTAATATAAAATATGTCGGAACAAGTCGGATAATACCAATATAGCCCAACACCCGCCATTGCTCCTTATAAAATGAACCCAATCCTACAACATCGGATTACTATTCCCGTCAAAGCATTTACAAGTTGTACTAAGATCCACATATGTGGGACAAGTCTTATCAACACGAAACTACCATATCATATAAATCTACGGAAAGAATCGATCGAAGATGAGCTGTGACGTGCGGTCACAATTGGCATAAAAAAAGTAAGACTTAACGTGGTTCTAGCAAGTAAAAAACTCAACATGGAATAAGCAGATTAAATATTAAGTTAAATCGACTCTAGTTTGGGGAATATTAACACGAGGAGCGGAGGAATAATTAGGGTCAGTAATAAGTACACTTGCCGTCTCGTGCCAACTAGCCCTACATTTCCTCCTATTCTTGCTCCGCCTATCGGTAAATAATAAATATCTTGAAAATTGGACCCGTGTAAAATAAGATTGCTGGTACTGATCATTGATCTTAAACGTAATATTAAAAGGCTAATGTTTACAAGGGTTAACGAATTAAAAAAATTATTTAAAATAATTTCACATTTTTCAGCTTCCAGTAATTCGTGAAAGACGACGATTTACTGATATAATGGATGAAGAAATTGATGACGAGCGAACAAGAAGTCGAATAAGCATGTACTCTGCAAATGATTCATATTCTATTAGACGCCTGCGAACCGAACTTGGACCTCGTTTGAATGAATATACAGAGGCAGATGCAATGATAGAATGTCAGCGTGATGGCTACCCACCCTTTTTTAGGGAAAAGCCACAAACCATTGCTATTATGGAAAACAAGCCAGCGCATATACACTGCTTTGCAGTTGGCGATCCTAAACCTTGCGTACAATGGTTTAAAAATGATATGGTTGTAAATGAAAGTAAAAGGATAAAAATAACTTTTGATGAGGATGGTCGATCAATATTGCGATTTGAACCAGCAGTTCATTACGACGTTGGAATCTATAAAGCAGTTGCTAGAAATAAAGTTGGTCAAACTGTGGCAAGATGTCGTATAGTGATTGCAACACTTCCCGATGCCCCTGACTCACCGGAAGTATCAGCAACAAGTGCAACAGAAATACTACTTAGATGGAAACAACCGCGAGATGATGGGCACTCTCCGGTCTTATGTTATAGTCTTCAATACAAAATGCTTAGTTCGGATACGTGGACAACTGTAGCTGATAACATTGATCATGAATTTTACCTTTTGCATGAGCTTGTGCCTAACACAAGTTATCAAATTCGATTGGCGTCGAAAAATCGCATTGGTTGGAGTGAAATGGGAATACCCGTTAATGCATCTACTTCGGGAACGGAATCTCCAAAAGTCCACATTACCAAAGCAATGAAGCATTTACAAATGTTGACAGAAAAGGGTCAAGAAGTGGTGCTTGAGGAGGAACGTGTACATATGGATTATCATTGCGAGCGAGACCCTCCTAACTGGGTAACTGATTCCTCCGTAAGTGATAAATACAGTTTTATTTCCGAAATCGCACGTGGAGAATTTAGCACCATTGTTAAGGGAATTCAAAAATCTACTGATACGGTCGTTGTTGCAAAAATTTTCGAAGTAACTGATGATAATGAAGATGCTATAGTTTCGGAATTTGAAAATTTTAAAACTTTAAGGCATGAACGTATTCCAGCGTTGTTTGGAGCTTATAAACCTATGAACGTACCAATCGCAATATTTGTGATGGAAAAACTTCAGGGAGCAGACGTGCTTACTTACTTCTGTAGTAGACATGAATACTCTGAACAAATGGTTGCATGCGTCATTACTCAACTTTTGGATGCGTTGCAATATCTTCATTGGCGTGGATATTGTCACCTTAATATACAGCCGGATAATGTTGTTATGGCATCGGTTCGATCTATTCAAGTCAAGCTTGTCGACTTTGGCGCAGCCAAAAAAGTAAATAAATTAGGAGTTAAAATAACACCAACTGGTATGTTGGACTTCCAACCTCCAGAGATGATTAATGAAGAACCGGTGTTTCCTCAAAGTGACATTTGGTCACTGGGCGTGCTTGCTTACTTACTTCTATCTGGTTGTAGTCCATTCCGCGGCGCTGACGAGTATGAAACTACACAAAACATTTCCTTTGTGCGATATCGTTTCGAAAATCTTTTCAAGGAAGTTACTCCGGAAGCAACTCGGTTTATTATGCTGTTATTTAAACGACAACCCACGTAAGCTTAAAATTATTATTTATAAAAAAAATCATTTGATAAATTTTTTTTATTAATAGAAAAAGGCCATACACAGATGACTGTCTGGAGCATAGATGGCTTATGTCTTCAGATTATATGGTTCGAAAACGTGAGCGTGCGCTATTCTTAGGGTGCCGATTAAAGGTAGTTTATTTTAAAGTTACTGTTTCAAACTTTATATTTATTCTAACTCAATCTCTCCGGCAGAACTTTTCTGATGAATATCATGAACAAAAGAGCAAAACAGCAACCTCATCCAAGTCTCTATATTCAGTTGAAGGTGGACCGACCCCAGCACAACTTCTCCGATCAAATAGCATTGAAGAAGAATTGCTTACAACCTTTTAGATAAATGGAGCAAAAAAGAAGATTTTTATTTTGCCCATATGATTATAGGACATTCATATATTTGAGCATATGGAATAAGAAGGTTACCTAAAATGGGATCTAAATTATTTTTGTTGTCATCAATCAATTAAATTTAAATCTTATTATGTATATGCCTTAGAAAAATAAATATACTATGTCCATTAAATATGTATGTAATTGTGCCATCTCCGACCCTTTTATTGTTTTAAAATGCCTAACGCATTTCTGTTGAATATTTTTTATTCAAGCCTGTTGTTGGCGCAGATCCGCCCATTGCTTAATGAAATTAAATTAAAACTTGAAATCTTGTGTAAGTTCATTTTTTGGTGGAACGAGAGTGCAGTAAAACTTAATTACTTGATCTGGGAGCGAATTCGCCTCGCTTAGCCGGCATAGCTTAATTTAGGCTTAAGAAGTTCGATGTCAGATATTGAATTAAATGAAACCAACCAGCACGAAGCGCATCAAATCACCGACTTTCAACCCACAATTTTTTAAATAATTATATAAAATCATACAATTTAAATTGGAAGACAATTTATGATAAATAAATAAACTCATGTGGTAAAGTGCAACGAGTTGCGACTCGCGAATTACGTAAAATTAAAAATTCAAATAAAATCGCGTCGGGCGAGATCAATATAATTATGTGTCCTGCAGCCATCGGGAGATGCTTAGGAAAGCAGATACTAAGACGGAACAACAGCTATAAATTGAAAGCCAAACTCGGTTGCGCAAATGAAGCCAACGCAATTCAATTCTTGGCAGATATGTAAAGTAGTTGAGTATAATTAAATTTGCATGCACATACTAACCGCTTTGGATATCAAAAAAACATATAATATATTAATTGTGAGATTTTAGGATATTGAGCGAATGCTAATTGGTGTCAAAAATTAATCGTCATTACAATTTAATTTCACCTAGTCGTTGTCTTTTCCCCTTCTTGGCTCTGGCTCCCAATTGTTGTTGAACGCATTTTCGTGTGTTACGGTAAAGAGACGCTCACTCCTACCTACGCCCACTCTTTATTAAAGATTTTTTTAATACGTTTGGCAAATTCCATTTTTATTTGTAATTAATAATTATTAAATCGAATTTAGAGTCAATATGGCAATAGTATTGACGATTAAGAAAAAACCGCAAAATGTTATGTCTATTATAAAGTTTTGACCCACTTTTGTAGATCGGCAAAAGCCCGTTTAAAGTCCGTTATTAGTCTTGAAGTCCTGCAACGCCTGCAGGCATGCCCGTTGCTGCTCCATGGACATGGTGTCTTCCGCACCTAGCACCTTCCAAGTTTAGAGAGAAATACTCAAGAGTTAGAATTTGATTCGCCTATACGAAACTCTTGTTCATAAAGATCATGCGATCCCGATCATAGAGAAATTCAAACATTTGTTCTCATGTGTCTCTGGTGAAGCTCTAGGGACTTTAGGAGCGTTTCAAGTCACCGAGGACAACTATTTAAAAGCATTAGACAGCCAAAAGAGTGTATATGACATTGAATGTCTTATATTTAATAAAAATATGTTGACTCTCTTTAGCCAGCCAAAAATAACGCAGACTTCTGCGGCATCATTGAGATTTATGATTGGTCCTGTTTCCACCATATAGGGCTCACTCCTGTCAATTTGAACGCGATTCTCATTTACCACGTTATGCACTTGACCTTGTATTTGTTAACGACTACCTTATTTCAAATGTGTCTAGGTCCGGTCCTTTATCTCTTCCTAAGTATGTCTAACGTCCTACTATAGAGATTGCAATGCTCAACTGTAATCCTTTCATTTCTTGCTCATCAGCCAATAAGCCCCAATGTTGCTTCCGCAAAGGAAATTATTCTTTGCTGAGTCAGCTTATTTATGCAACCGATTGGTCTTTCTTATATGACTCGGTTGATATAAATATAGCCATTAATTTTTTTTCTAACACCCTAAGCTCCCTCTTAGATGTTGTATTCCCAAGTCAATTCCTTCGACCACTTTTTCAAACCACCCTGGTTTACTTCCAAATTGTCACGGCTAAAAAATTTAAAATGTAAATATTTTAAAAAGTTTAATAAGTCTGGTTCGTGTACAGACTTGGCTAAATATTCCATAGCCAGGTCGAACTTCTTTCTTCTGAATTATTAATGCTATAAGAATTATCTAACTCGTTGTAAAAGGCAATTAATCAAAATCCGAAACAGTTTTAAAATTTTTTAAGCTTAAAACGTAAATCTTTAAGTTTACCATCTTCTTTTTCTCTAGGCATGGATAATGCGAACAATGACTCTGATTCTGCTAACCTCTTTGCTAATTTTTTCCAATCAACTTACTCTTCAGAGTGCAACTTCAATTCGGCGGCGAAGAGCGAAAGCTCCGCGGCAATGATCCGAAAGCTCGCGGCGAGATTGAGGGGCCGACGTGAACGCATGGCTCGCTAGCGAGCGTGCTGGGACTTTTTGGAAAACGATCAGAGTGAGTAGACGTGTCGATAAAATGAGCGCGAGTGATAACAGTGAGGTGTCCAGCAGAGCGATAGGGCTACAAGGCAGTGCGGCAGGGCGTTAGTTTAGAAGACCCAGGAGGGTATAAGTTAATAAAACGAGTAATAAAGTGGATACACTCAATGTGATGAAGAGAAATGCTGATCTTTGTACTCTCGGGCGGTCATGTTTTGTACTAAACTTCGGAAATAACCGAGGTTCACCCTAACCAGAGGGGCTATTGTGGTTGGTGCGAGGCCGAGGCCCGATGGTGTGATGGTGCAAGGCTAAAGCCCGGCAGTGCAGGAGGTGCGAGGCTGTAGCCCGTTAGTGTGGTTGGTGCGAGGGCAAGGCCCGCTAGTGTAGTTGGTGCGAAGCCAAGGCCCGATAGTGTAGATGGTGCGATGCTACGGCCTGCTAGAATCGGTAGTACGGGGCTGGGACCCGGTAGAGTAGGTGTTGTGAACATAGAGAGAGGTATGGTTTGGTCGGTACGTTCACAATCACTGCACAATCTACATAAAATGTGAGCAGAATCGAGCACACAGAGTGAACATCGGGAAAATAACGATCGAAAATGTACAGTGCGCGCGCGCCAGACGGGACAGCGAGACCACGCTTTGTCGTATGCACAGACGCGCGCCGCAGCCGACATCGGCGTCGAAGGGCCGTTAAGGCGTCGCGACAGTGGCTGTACAGTGGGACGAATTCAACTCGCATGCGGTGAAAAGTTGAATTCATCAGTACAGCCAACGCAAACAATGAGAACGAGAGTGTTTAAAACTGAAGAAAACGGAGTGCACTACAAAATAACGAAAAGTAAGACACATTAAAGGAACGAGAAGTTAAAGTTGAGTGAACTGATTACGTTTATTTTTTTTTTTTGGTGGCGTGACCGAATAAAAAAAAATAATAATAATAAAATATATACTAAAAGAAATAAATGAAATCCATAAAGAAGCAGAATTCTTGAAATAATAACAATTGTCAATAATTGGTGGAGTTTTTTTAAACAATAATAAACAAAAGGAATAATAATAATAATTATTGACAATAATCAGTGAATTATTTTGTTTTATTTTTTTGGTGGACCAACACAAAACAAGTAAGAGGATCTAGCCGGGAGCTCCCGCCTCGGGGATTCCCTAGACCCTCTTCTTCCAACATCAAATGCATTTATATATTCTATCTTAGAAGCTATATGTCAAGTTTGGTGACTCTTGCTCATATTATTTACCAAAATTCCCTAAAAAACAGGATGTCGATATCGATTTTTATCGATTGCTTGGAAACGGAGTAAGTTATCGATTATCGGAAACAAACTCGATCTGCGCGGGAACTAGGAGCATCTACATCTAAAATTTCAAGTGTCTAGCTCTTATAGGTTCTGGGATCCTTGCATTTATAAATACGGACAGACGGACAGACAGACAGACAGACATGGCTAGATCGACTCGGCTATTGATGCTGATCAAGAATATATATACTTTATGCGGTCAGAGATGCTTCCTTCTGCCTGTTACATACATTTGGATTTTGCACAAACACAATATACCCATTTTTAATGGGTTCTGGGTATAAAAACTCAGAGTGAGTGAAAAGCTCAAATTGGAATCAGGTGAGTGCCAAAACCGGGGGTAGGCGTGCGTTGGATCCACCAGCGGCGCAAGGAGGAACTGGTGGCCATCGCCCAGGAGTTCGGGCTTGAAAAGGAAGGGCGCGTGGAAGAGCTGCTTTGGCGGCTGTCCACCTACGTGCAGGAGGGCGGCCATTCGTCGGAGATCGGGCTCGGCTTGCCGAGCTGGAGTCTCAGTTCACGAAAACGTTAGATTCGCTATCCTGGGGTGTTTCACCTGACGTGGCTGGACGACCGCACTAAAAGTCAGAGCCTGATCTTAGAAGCTCGCAATTATACGGGCGTCCACAGCCGCCTATCCCTGGTGTGGCCGTCACGGGGGTGGAAGGGGCTCACGCTCCCATGGAAATCTGAGATCGCCGAGCAACCACGACTAACATGGGTATGGAGCGGAACCCGATCGGGCCCAATCACGTCCCCTACGCTCCCCAACCGTATTTCGGTCGGAGGTTAGGCCTTTCACAAACGTCCCGGAACAAGTTCGGAAGTGGGGTATGAGATACGCTGGCCGCTCCGTTCCCTCGGGCTCTTGGATGACCTAGAGGAACCAGTCACGCCCTCGATAGATAATGAGCGAGGTGTTCTGCGACAGGGCCGCTCGGTGGTTCTTAAGCAGTGGGATTAGAGATGTGGTCGCTGTTCAGGTGGGGCTTCTTGAAGTTCTTCCTGCCCCCACGCTACTTCGAAAGGCTTGACGACGAAATCCGGCCCCGCAGGCAACGCGTGGGGGAGGAATTCAAGGAGTACCTGATAGAGCTGAGAGCTCTGATGCATCACGCCAGATCCGAGCCGGCGTAGGAGTTGCACCGGATCTATGAAAACGCTGCTCCCGAAAACAAACTCTACGTGCGTCGGCAAGATTTCTCCACGCTGCCACAGCTGGCAGTGGAGTAGGAGACACAGAGTGGAATACCTGGGATGCAGGGCAGGGAATCAGGTGGTCACGAGCTCAAATAGCGCGGAGTGGGAAAGGAGTGTACAGCCCCCGAGGGGACACCTTAACCCATTCCGGTCTATTCCCAACGGATCCGGAGCG